AGACCTGGTATTTCTTGGAAACCTTTAAGTTTCAAATCTATGTTCCTTTAGAGAAGGTGAGAACAAGATGACTTGGCAGAGCCACAATGACAAAGAGAACATGTGAAATCCGACTGTGTGACCCACATGTGCATGTTACTCCAAAAAAAGGTACCCAGGGCACTTAGCATGAATGCTAAGCTCAATAGCTAATACTCAAGCTTGATGAGTAAAGGATCCATCAGCATAACAAGGAGTTGGCATCTGCTGCTAACTTCCACTTACACTGGGCTTTTGTTGGAAGCAACATCAATACTGGTTCCAAAATCATTACCAAAACTCAAAGTAAAAGAAGTATATGTTCATGATCACCAGCACTACAGTATGACCACCACTCTTGCAAGCAGCAGGAAAAATTCTACTTCAGAGACAAGTTTATAAAGCAAGTACCAGCTTCTTGTAGGAAAGCACGTTCATTTTGCAAGAGATGAACTTCTGGAGCTTTAAAGGCTGCATCGTTCTGAGGGAGAAGAGGCATGGACAGAGTATTGCTCGTACCAATCCAGAAACCCGTTTGCTGGATTTACCAGGTTTTAGTACAGATCTGAAATAGCATTTTCTATATTCCACCCTACACACACAGACACACACTTGCTGAATTTGATAGAATAAAAAGGCCTTTGGCTTGTTAATGACCACAGGATTCACCAGTGTGAATGCACAGGCCAGTTTGACTGAAAAAAAGGGCATATATTTTTTTTTCTGACAAGCATCCCAGGCAATCTGCAGAGCTGACTCAATGGATGTCAGTACTAGAGGGTATTTTTGGAGCTAATGAAACAAAAAAAACCCAAACAACAAACCCAAAAAGATGTAAAACGTGTGAGAGAGAAAAAAATAACTTGCTGTAGTAGAGCCAAGGATACTGAGGCCTGAAGAGATGGCCTAAGCTCGTTCCTCGATGTCACTTGCATTTTAAGCTGCAATATTGAGGCTGCCAGGAAATCATTACTCAATATAAAGCCAAGGAGATGCCTCAGTCCCCAGCCAGCAGTGTCTGGCAGTGCCAGACACCAACCGAAAAAGATACTCCTTGGCTATTTAGTAAGAGGACCCAAGCCAGTCTTGGTACCTTCAACTGTAAGAATCTAGCTCCAGCTACGAAGCATAAAGCTGTAAGTGTTCAGAAACCACATGATCCTGGAGCTTCAATTAAAAACCTCACTTCCAGCAGCAAAGTAAAAGAACAGCAAGATGAATCCAAGTGAGTTTTGCTCTAAAAGAAGGCAATGCAGAGAGGAGTGGCTGACTCCAGTACAATCAGCAGTTTGGAAAAGTGTCTCAAAGCTCTTATGAAGCTCTAGGCTCCGTGTCACACCTCAGGTGTTCTCCGATACTATTAGCATGATAAATGATCATTACTTAAATTCTGCTTAAACCCAAATGTGAATTTTGTTTTCTCTTCATCATGAGAGTAAGAAGGCGTTTCAAGGGAATATGGGATGCATGCTTTGCTTGAATACAGGCAATGACATCAACCCTTACATGACACTGCTTGCATACTCTGTGTGAGAGCTGCACTTCATCATCACATTTGCAATGCTTCTGTAGCCAAGGAAATATTTTCTTAGAGGCTAAGAGACCAGCAGAAAGTTTCAACTTTAGGCAATCTGTCCAGCAGCTGAAATAGAGCTGTTTATCACACTGCTACTTCTCCTCTTCGTCTTCTTCTGGGATTGCTGGGGCTGAGCTGGCAGTAAAGCCAGGTTCTCTCCCCAGCCAACAGGAACAAAGTCAGGTTGCTGGCAACACGACAGGGAGGTGGCTGTACAGAGCCAAGCATGCCAAGCAGGCCTTCCTAACACTTCCCCCCTTATCTTCAACACGGCTCCAAAGGCAACCAACAATTACTATGATATCCTTGCATACAATCACCCCTGTGCTCCCAGCTTAAGGCAGCAGGATCATGTCTCCTGCAAATTATGAAGTGCTGAAGCTGGAGGTAACAGCAGCCAGAGGCAGCACCATATAACTACCCCAGCCCTGTTCCTGGAACTACCTTGACTGTAGCCCTCATTGTTCTGGAAAAGATTGCTCTCTGGGAGCAGCCATCAGTTTTGTTCCATTGTGTAGCAGTAAAAAACAGATGCCAGCTAAGCAGCTAGCTAATCTATTTTTATACATTTACTTAGGTCAACTGTCCCACAAATTGAACTATGAAGAGAACACAAGAATAGGATAAAAAAAAAATGTGGTTTTTCTGATACTCCAAATGTAGCTCTCAGTGTCTCTCTGTTTTAATTACAGTTATTTGTATTGTTTGCTTACATTGTGATTCAAGAATATGAAATAAGGAGAAAAGGTTAAGCAGAACATGCCAGATTCCAGGATGAAAAAGTCCACCATGTTTTTTTTGTTGTTTTCCAGGTAAAATAACTATTGTGCTATTACACCTTCCAGGTCCCAGATTACATTTAGTGGACTATCAGACACAGTGGACTGATGTAACCTGGTGATCCACTGTGGGACTGAGTATTTAAAGAGAGCACAAGAGCTGGTTCCAACACAAACAGTGGGAAAAGAAAGACTGGGCTGGTGCAATCTCTGACAAGTACTGGAACAACTTAGCTCATGCTTGGATTTCAGGAATGCAATTAATTAATCACTACTAAGTACCCTAAAATCAAGTGAGCCATATCCCAGCTAATAGTCCACAATATAACGTTCACAGCACGTAAGTATCAGGCAGTGAAGATGCTCATTACAGTGCCAGAAATAATATTCCCAGTAAAATATTATATATAAAGATGAAGTAATTATATGGCATGGCAACAAAAAGAGCTGCAGTCTACAGCTGAGCTGAAAATCTGTAATAACCTATTTCCAAAAAATACTTTCCAAGGCTAGAAACATTCAGAAACAATAAAGAATTAAGTGTATTTCTTCACTTCATATCACTGAGGGATATACTTTGCCTTTGATATGCAAGTCTAACACACACCATATATAGTTACACTGTAACCAAGATAGCAGACAAAAAAGAACTAATGGAAAACAATGTCCTTTTTTCTTTCCCTTCTTCAGGAGAAAGCAGTTTGTAAAACACTACTTGTAATACACAAAACAATCACTAAAGCCCTTTAAGATCACCATTTTACAAGGTGCCTTTTCTCTTTACTTTATACAATGGAGAAATAAAAATCAGAAATTAGACTCACATTTAAAATTGTGTTTGGAAAAGTACCTTAAAATAAAGAAAGGAGTCCAAAGTCAAAGTCCACAGTGACTTCCACGGAGGGCAAGAAGTGGCCACTATGGCACAAAATGAATCAAACCATTGGTGTTCTTGTGTGCATCAGTTTGCTCATATTTACACCATGCTAGAGAATTCAAGTGTCATTGAAAAGCCATTTAAATTAACAACTCCATAGTTATCACTTTTGGAGACAGACATGAACCTTAAGGGAACCTGTGTGGGTGGATTCCAAAGTGCTTCATTTTTGGAGTACCTTTGTAACTCTGAACCAGATATTATAATGGCTATTGACTTGCTCAAACTTAGATTATTAGGCTAGATTTTCAGCTGGGTGAACTGGCACAGTTCCAATGATGTCCATTTACACCAACTGGTTCATTATTAATTCAAGGTCTTATTTGCTCCTTAATGAAACCTTCCACTAGTCATCTTCCCAATGGCAGTTTTAAAATGCTCAGATGTTACCTTCGTGGTCAGAATCATCATCCTCAAGAACTTACTTACCAAAAATAATCCTTTTCCTCTCCTTTTATGAGGCATACTTAAGGACAACTTTTTTCACCATTTACAGAACAAACTGAAATACCTTCTGTGCCATAATTAACCAACTAGAATTATGCTTTCATACAGCATCATTTGCATATAGATATAAAAATATCACAAAGGGGACACTGAGGGCAAAACAAAACAAGAACAGAATTAAAAGTGCTAAAGGGACAACGCAGCCCTCCATAACAAGCCTCTTTTATAGCACTTTTTTCTTACTGTCATTTCTGTCTGTACTCATTCATACACATTCTTCTTCTTTGTTATTTTAAGATATTACATGTATTTTTAAATGCTGATTTATTTGGTCTTTTCAATTTTAACCTCTGCACTTCTAAACCAATTCAGGATACAACCATGTCGATAAGTTTGTGTCTCTTAATTTAATACATCACAGTGGTCAGAAACAAAATTAACTGAAAACATAGCAGCCTGCTCCCTCAACCAAAAAACACTCAATTTTTCAAAATTACTTCAGTAATTCAATTTTTACAATTTTTCAACCAGACCTAATTTATGACTTCAGTGGAACAGGTAACTGTCAAATATACAAAGGAGAGCAACCACTATTTTTGATCGTTGTTGTTACTAGTTTTAAGTAATTTAAATACTTGAAAAGATATTTAGGAATTTGATGAAGCTGAATTATCTCAGAGCCTGAGGAACCTTAATGGTAGGCTCAATAACTCTGCTGTGGCATGCAGAAGGTAAAAACTTCACAGTGGTGTTTTATGGGAAAATATCCTTCAAAAGGGCTACAGCAAAACTTATCTGCTCAGTCAAACTATTAGTGTGTCACAATTCTGGCTAATCTGACTCTGAAATTTCTAGTAAGAGCACCTGAGTAACACCCAAGTAACTCAAAATGAAAATACTCTTCTAAAAAGATTTCCTAGCATCTTTACTTTTTTTGATTTTGAGTACCCCTCAGCATAAACTTCCAAATAATTACCTTTGTATAAATGTTTTCAATTTGCTTATGCCCAAAAGCCACAAGTAAGAAAAAGGCAAGGATACTGTAAGAGCTAGAGAAAGAGCAAAGAATGGTTTTCACCATGGAAAAACTTAAGAAAACCCCGAGGTGAACAAAGTTTTGTAATGAGGTAAGTAATGATTTTTCTGAAGAGCTGAGCAGGCCACTTAAGCTGCTTTGATACAACCATCAAGTTGCCCATCAAATGTACTCTGGTGTATCTTGCTGAAGAAAGTTACTACATACCTGGAATAAATTCCACTGACCATGTTGTGCTGGAAAGAGAGCTCTGCTGTGCTGGGTCCAGCAGCTTTGGAAATAAGCAACACAACCAAACCTCGCATCTGTAAATTATTTCTGCTGTCATACACAAAACCCCTGCAAAAAGGAAAGAGGGAAAAAAAAGAAGCATGATTTTACACTCTGTTTTCACTGGTCATCACTTTGTCAAGTCTTTAATATTCACATTTGCATGGAAATAAGCTGCAATTATTAATCATGATCTTTTGCCACCCTTTACCTGACACAATTAAAGACTACTATTGCACAGAAAAGCAAGTATTCAGGAATAAATCACAGAATCATAGGGGTTGGAAGGGACCTCTGAAGGTCATCAGTCCAACCCCCCTGCCAGAGCAGGAACACTCAGGGCAGGTCACACACAGCAAGGTATCCAGATGGGTCTTGGAAGGCTCCAGAGAAGGAGACTCCACAACTTCTCTGGGCAGCCTGTCCCAGGGCTCTGTCATCCTCACAGGACAGAAATTTCTCCTCATGTTGAGGTGGAACTTCCTGTGTTGTCAGTTGGTGCCGTTTCCCCTCGTCCTATCACAGGCACCACTGAACAGAGACTGGCCTATTCTTGACATCCACTCTTCAGACATTTCATGTCATGTCAGAAAAGGAGTACTTCAGAATCATAGAATGGTGAAGGTTGGAAGGGACCTTCAAGATCATCCAGCCCCAACCCCCTGCATGGGCAGGGACACCTCCCACCAGCCCAGGTTGCTCCAAGCCCCATCCAACCTGCCCTTCAACACTGCCAGGGGAGCAACCTGTTCCAGTGCCTTCCTGCCCTCATGGGGAAGAATTTCTTCCTGATGTCCAACCTAAATCTCCCCTCTTTCAGTTTAAAACCATTACCCCTTATCCTATCACTGCCCTCTCTGGTGAAAAGAATTCAATGTGTTCTACTGCAATTGGAACATAGAAGCTTCCAATTTGTTTTTTTTTTTAAGTACAAGAAAAGCCAAAAGAAGCCTCATACATGAAAAGAAGAAAAGGTAGAGCCTAAACCTATAACATTCTGAAAGAAAACTGTTTAGATCAGAGTGGTTATGAACAGACCACACAGTACATACATGTACAAGTATATTAGGAGAAGGTTTTGCAGAACTTGAGAGATGCAACATAAAAGTAGAAGGCTTGTTTTAAACAAAAGAAGAGTTTAAAATGCTGCAACTTAAAATTTGGGGTCAGAAAGAAACTGCCCCCCAAAACGTATCTGTGGAAAGCAACAGTAAATTACCACTTTGATACACCAGCTTAGAAATTAATTTATTTTAAAGCCAACTTAGCTTTCCTTTTTGACTGCAGTGTCTCCAAATGTGCTCTTCCTGTCCTTGTCAACCTGCTTTCTACTTTCTATGTTCATTAGTAAGGCTAAACAGCAAGAAGAAAGGATAATACATTACAGATGCTATTCAATTTGTAAACTGATTTCCAATAAAGAAGAGCTCCAATATAATCTAAATATTTGTTAAATAAATCATGTTAAAAACTACACCACAGATTGCTAAGCATTTCAACTCATTTTATTCCAGAGTACAACTTAAGTCCTAATAACTGAAGGAAATCAAAACAGAACTATCTTTAAAACATCTGGATGCAAACCTGAGATGTTGATCTTGGAAGTATGTTGGAATAAAGAAAACAGTGGATGCAACTTAAAAGTTTCATTTGGATTTTTTCTCTGCTTTTACACCATTTCACAATGCAAGGATATCTTCAGTATACTATTTCATTCACACAGAAACATTACAAAAACAGTGATTTAGGTAGCAGCACCCTTCTGTGTGAGAGCTCTTGTGCTACCACAAAACATTCTTGAGTTCTTGAGTCTTTACAACCTTCCCAGGAGTGACGGGGGGGGATGGCCCAAACTACATGTCTCAAACAGCCTCCACTCTGGTAGCTGGTGCTACTGAGCTTGGCCTTCCCACCTGCCCTGATTCCAGGCTGAAACTACCCCCTCCAGAGAAGTCCTTACCTCGCTCTCAGTGCAGCTACAGCCTACAAATGCCACTAGTGATTAACATGAGGAGGCCAGTATGGCTCATACGGCTTTCTATCACAACATTCTTAGCTCTGGTGGGGTCCAATGAGCCAAACAAGGCCATAGCTCCTTTTCTGTGCCTTTGATATCCTCATATACCATTTGCTTCACCTGCAGACGACTGGGCTGGTGAGCCCAGGACAAGGCAGGGGTGGGTGGCACTACACTCCACACTCTCAGCAACATGGGCAGCTGTGGTGTTAGAAAAAGGTATCAATTTCTGCTAAATTTCCAAAAGAGAGGCCAAGCGTGTATGGCTTCAGATAATAACAAGAGCTTGGTTAACCAAGCTGAGGTTTTAAGAACCAAGTGGATACCAAACATGTACAGTCAAGGCTGAAATTTAGCCAAAAGCCAACACTAGCTACCCATCTTAATCTGTAACAATGCAATTAAATGTTACTCTCTCTTAAAAGAGCTGTGAAGTGCAAATAGCAATTAACACAATACCTTGCTAGCTACCTTAAAATAAACCAAATAAAATATTTCAGAAAATCAGAAGAAGATGGGTAACCAATATTTTGATGGAAGATATTCAGCACAGATTTCAGCACGAGATCCAAACATAACTTCCTAAGAAGCCATGCCACTGAGCCATCAGATCTCAGTTCTTCCATCCTCAAAGATCCTTAAAAAAACCCAACTAAAACAAAACTTGAATAAAACAGCATAAGAACCACTAAGAGGAAGATTACTATATAACTTTCCAGAGGAAAAAATATTTTTGTAGACCAATCCAGCTCAGATCTCCCCCCGATGGGCACACACTGCCATCCTGCAACATCCACCTTTATTTTGCTTATTGAGTGGAGAACAAAGGGACAGGAGGTCCACCCAGATAGTGGTCCTATTAACTTGTTAGAAGGGTGTACATGGTGCTTGTCATCAGTATTCTCTGGATTTATAACTTGTGTACCTTTTATTCTCATCAAACACACAACTTTTTCTTACTAGGTTCTAATATACAGTTAACAGAACGCAGCCAAGACAATTAAAACACTTAAAACTCAATAGATTTCTGAAGTCAGAGCCACAATGAACATTAAACTACCCAGGAAAAAAACAGAAAATATCTATAATTAATAATATATAGTGTGTATGTATCCTGTATACAGAATTCATAATTGTTTGTGGTGGAATAAGTACTTCTCTGGCTTGAACTTCAGTTGACCACATTACTCACACACACACAAGTTACACAGATGATGCAGTTCAATGCAAATATATTTCCTCAACACTATTTACAAGTCCATCATTTTTAGAGAAAAGCAGTTTTAGGAAAAATTGCTTTTTTTCCACATATATACTCTGGTAAATTCAGAGTGCTTTGCTGAAGGCAGGATCTCATGAGAAATTAATAACCTTATAAAAAACCAAACAAACAATGAAACCATAAAATACAGAACATTATGGTGATACTTTTAAGAATCAAAACACTTTTTTTTTTCATGCCCAGTGCCCTACAGCTTGCTACTACAAAAGTAGAGAATAAAGTTAATCAGCACAGAATTATAAAGCACCAGCCTTTAAATAAGTCTCTGCCTGGATAGTCACCACCAGAAGCAAAGAACCAAAGTGCTTTTACCTGCTTCAGACTAGGTGAGGAACAGAAGCAGAAAATTACCTGTGCTGAAAATACTCACTTTCACAGCAGTAAGAGAAACAAGTGTTCAGAGATGTTCAGCAATGAATGCCTTGTATTCTTAGCAGAAAAACATTGATGAGAAGTGCAGATGTGGAAGGGGGGAGGGAGGAGAAGAACGGGATATAAAAATTAAATAGTGTCATAACTAGGAGCAACATGTCTGTCAGTTCTACCCTTAATCATAAAGCCTGTGTTGCATATGGTTTGGATGTAATTTTAGACAGCATTTCCTATGAATTACCAGACCAGTATTCAAAGTTTAATTCCATCCAAAACACGGCTGAAGTGGTGCTATTGACATGTAACACACCCACACCAAAGCAAACCGCATCAGACTTGAGACAAATAAAGCCTCCGGTGATCATCTTTTAGACGCTAGAAACTACTGCAGCTCCCTGACATGGCTCCAGGGGTCACATTCACATTCGGAATTAAACTCCCCAGAGATATTTCTGCACGAGCAACAGCTACACAAAAGTCTTCCAGATGGTGCAATTAGTCTTGATGGGTACGTGGCAGGAGACAGGTGCCTCTAGGGGGGAAAAAAAGTGAAGTAAAAGCAACCCAAGTGAAATAGTTCACACACACGCAGGAAAAGATGCATCAAGCCAAGAGTCTTTGGGAAAATTTCTGCTGAACACCACAAGTACAGGCATGAGGTACCTAAAAAGCACAGTACTGCTTATTCTAATTTACAGGCTGGGTATCTTGCAAATGACCCAAGGACCACAGAGCAAAAAAGGAACTGAAGTAAAACACGATTGTACTACTCAGTTTTGAAAAATGTTAAGAATCTGGGGGCAAAAAAGTAAAAAAATAAGAAAAAAACACACACACAAAACCCAAAAAACCCCAAACAAAACATCAAACCAAAATGAAACCAAAACAAAACCCCAAAAAACCACAACCCGAAAAGCATGTACTCTAGATATTATCTGCGTGACAGAATAACCCATTTGAGAACTGGCAGATTCCCAGTTTTAAGTACAGAATGATGTTCACCAAAACAATTCCTCTTCCAGCAGAGGGAAGAAGTGTCTGGCTCCGACACACACTGCGTGACACTGCACAGTCACAAGGGACTCACACCTCCCACTCCAGAGATGACACTGGCTAACAGCTAACGTGCTGCAAGCTACACCTCCTACTACCAGGGTCTGTCTGCTGCAGAGAATAAATCAGGCAAACAGGAGCATTTCACTTCATGCTTTGTGTATTTCTCCACATGTGCAGCCATTTTGGTAGACTTTGCAGTTAAAATATTAATCTCCAATAATTGTCAGGTTTAACTCCATCAGTAATATACACTTGTACAAGAAAAAAAACCACAAACCAACTATTTATTTCAAGCACCATTCATATTTTTCAGCAGTCTTATTTAAATACTGCACAGATTTT